CTACAGAATAAGAATGATACCACCTTCCTTGTTAGGGGTGTTGTGAGGATTAAATTAGATTATTCCTGCAAACCATTAGGTATGTATGTTAAATAAACAATAGCCATTATTATCATATCACAGTAGCCATCCGTTAAGAAACTATGTAGTTTAAAACTTATGCAAAACTAAGCAAGGAGAGACTATGTTTCTGCAATTTATCACTTACATTTCTCTCTTCTACCCCACATGGTGTAACCAGTTTCTACACTTTTTAGAATAAAGGAAACATTGTTAGGGCAAGTGCTTCAAGAATGACAGAGGGAAGATGTTGCAGACCCCGTGGTGTGATGGTTGGGGGAGAAGCCTCTCCTTTCCCACACTGCCTCAACATGATCCCAGAAGGAATCAGCAAAGTAACCTTAGGCTTGAGTCTCAGAGCCCATTTCATAAAATTTCTCCCCTCCCAGCAATCCACCTGTGGACTGGATCTACGGCATGTGACCATCATCGAGCTGGTGGGGCAGCCACCTCAGGAGGTGGGGCGCATCCGGGAGCAACAGCTGTCAGCCAACATCATCGAGGAGCTCAGGTCCAGGCTGGGAGCCTGCAGGGAAGGGGTGGGCAGAAATCCTAGGCAGGACATTGATCAGAATCAAGGTGGGGGGAGGGGGCCGCTTAAAATACAAATGACCAGGCCCCACCCTAAACCACCTCAGGACTGTGCTTTTATAAGGCACCTTAGGTGACTCTGAAGCACAGCCAGGGCTGACACAGCTAGACCCAAAAGTGACTCAGATAAGCCTCTGATCCTGCTGCCTCATGGCCTCATCTCTTTGCCTTCAGTCTCCAAAGAAGGAAAAGGCATCTTTAGGCACCGAGATCTGAATGATAGCCATCTGCCCCTGGGTGAAGAGAAGACTATAGGTGACAGGTGGTAGAAGTTGACTTTTCTCATTATCTACCCATTATCACCCTTCCAATGCCTCCACATATACTCAGAGCCAATATAGCCATCACTGCTCTCTGTTCTATAAACAATATCTGCCTCTAGGGCTCAGTCTCAGTAGGGACAGAAAGATTCAGTCCCAGGTTGGGGAGAGACTGGGAAACACTCAGAAGAAGGAGACTGCAGACTTTCAGCTACAGATAGAAGAGTTGACCAGGTGATACTGATCAACTTCAGGGCTGCCATGTATGGCTGTGCAGGCTATGCCCAGCCCAACTCTAGAAAACACTAGTCACATCATAGTGCATGCAACTGGTGCTCCCTGGAGTTATTCCTGCATAGATATATGTGAAAGCCCTGCTTAAGGGGGCCTATGAGGGAAGTACAGCCTGGTAATAACAAAGTTGCTCTATCCGGGATGAGGAAGGGACAGCCTGGCAGAGCTAGACACATAGGGGCAGCAAGACTAGGGTCTGAGCAGAGAAAAACAAAGGAGCTTGAGATAGATAGTGGAGGGGATGGGGACAAGGGATCGGGTAGGGAAGGAATTAGTCCATCAGAGGAGCTGTGAAAGGTCAGGGGGTTGTAGAGTCTGGCAGGATGGAGCCCAGACAAGGTCTCACACCTCCCCGGGCTCCTCTCTCTAGGCAATTTCAGCACCTCACTCGCTCCTACTTCAACATGGTGTTGATTGACAAGCAGGGAATTGACCGGGAACGCTACATGGAACCTGTCACCCCTGAGGAAATCTTCACATTCATTGATGAGTATCTACTGAGCAACCAGGAGCTGATCCAGCGCCGGGAGCAAAGGGACATATGCGAGTGATCTTGAGCCAGGGCATGGCTGAGGTCAAGGGAAAAGCTCCCCCCAGTCAGCTGAAACTGTAGCCTAATAAAAGGAGGAAATGGTTTCCTATAGTTCTAGGGACAGGACTCTAAGATGGATGAGCTTCACCAATCCTAGGACATTTCCAGGCACCTTTTTAGGGCTGTGTAATAGTTTCCCTAAGCAAGTCTCTGCTTTAGATAGCACTGGAGGAGCATAAGGGGCTAGGTAGAGACTGAGGACAGGCCCTGGGCAGTGGGTTGGTGGTAGAAGGTCTTCCTTTCCTAACCTGGGTCTCTGCCCAGCTCTCCAAAGTCTTCCAGATAAGTAAATCCTAAATTCACTCACTAACCGGCTGTGTTTTAAATGGTTCCTCTACCCTGAAGTGACAGCAGAGGGCAGCACCATCACAACAGACAACCAGGACATTTGAGCAAGTCTAGCTGGATTCTCCTTACAGGTTAACTGTATCATTGGAGGTGGGAGGAGCTTCAAAACATTCTTGAACTTGTTTGTCATTTCCCCTTTTAGGGCATTGGGCTAGAAATGTTATGTTAACCATTGTTTCATCTAAGAGTTAGGAAAACGCCACAATGGGAGGGAGCTTGGGAAGAAAAATCAGGCCCAAGCCGAATGCTTTCTCCTGACCTCTCCAGCTGGCTCATGGGCAACAATCTCTTTTTACTGAGGCTCCAGTTCTATTGCAAAGGTAGCCAATGCTGTCCCTTCCTCAGAGAAGCCCCCAGCTCGTGATCTAGGAAATCTCAAAACCACCACTGCAAGCGTCTATAAAACTAAATAATAGAGAAGGAAAAAAGACAGATTCAGCCTTATGTATTAACTTACTCAGAAATCACTTTTAAAAGATGAGCACAGAGCCAGTGGGAGCTATGGCATCACAAAGTCAAGCCTTAAGAGCCAGGCCTGAAAGTAAATTGGAGGCGAAGTGGAGCCACACCCAGACCCATGCCCTGGCTTCAGCCGCACTCAGCAGTGTATCAGTGTTTGAAAGGAAAGTGTACTTTCCCATGCTGTCAAGAACCTTCTTTTCTACACTCACGAAACCCAGTGTCCTGGTTAAGACTCAACAGCCTTTCTCCTTCAGCTTTACCCAGGGGGTCATCAGTGGAAAATTAGAGGGGAGAAGGAAGAGGCTGGGTGGAGAGGCAGAGCTAATAATGCTTGAGCACTCACTATGTGCCAGGTGCCATTCTAAATATTCTATTGATTGACTCTGAAATCTTCACAAGAACCTTAAAAGGTAAGTACCGTTATTAGTCCCATTTCACAGATGAGGGAATTGAAGCACAGAGAGGTTAGGCAACTTGCCTAAGATCAGACAGCTAGTAAGTGGCAGAGTCAGGATTTAAACACCAGCAGTCTGGCTCCAGAGTTAATTTTCTTAAACATGATGCTATCCTGCCTCTACTTCTTTTTCTACTTTTCATTTAAAGACAGCTGACAACTCCAAGCAAGGAGAAAGGTTTCACCTTTTATATATAATTCTACTCAGACACAAAACTCAGAGTGGGCCCAGGAGGAAAGAGAGGAATGAAAGGCTCTCAACCCAAGAAAATTCACTCTCCAAAGCAGAGTGATGGGACATAAATTATGAGCCCAGAACATATGGGGGTAGTAATGAGTCAGAGAGAAGCTGTTTCCACTGGGGGATTAGTGGAAATCACATTTTTAAAATGCAAAATAAAAAGTTAGGCAGTTGCTGAGTGGAATGGGACATGGAGGAATGATCAAACTTGAAGCAAAAAGGTCCCTTCTCCCTCTTCCCTCCAGGGAAATACAGGAGTTGTGAAAGGCAGGAGGCAAGTTATGGGCAAAAGGCAAAATACAATGAGTTAATGTGGGAAATTTCCGGTCTAACAGGGTCTGTGGTTCCAAAGGCAAAGACTGCACATCATGCAAGATGAATGCCCTTCCTTGTCTGTATCACTAGCACTTCAAGTGGCAAGCCAGGGCATGCTAGCAGGTCAAAGGCCCAAATGATAACAGGAGGAGGCCCACTGCCTCCTGAACAGAGCTCCCAGCTGGGCCTGACTCTCGCACATAAATGCTCCTCCAGCTTAAAAAATTGAGGAGCTTTTGTTTTGTTTCATTTTACTGAGTAGTCAAGGCAAGTCAATCTTGCTTTCTTTAGGTAAAGTTTTACTGTAACCTCCTTTGGATTATGATTCAAGAAATCCCAACTCTTAAAGCAGGGGAAAGAGACAGCAGCAGAATCAGGCCCACGGCCAGACCCAAAGGGGCTAGCCCAACCCTAACCTTATAGATCCCTGTTTCTGTTTTTCTCTTTCTGCCCCTCTCTGCTCCTCATCTCTCTCTCCCTCCCTTGCTCGCACGCGCACGCGCACACACACACAAGCCAAAACATTCTGATTGTCCTACTTTGTAAACTAAACTTATTTCTTTGAGATATTTTAGAAGAGAGGAGTCATCCCTTCCTGTAAATCTTCGCCCATAACACACATATCATCCTCACAGGAGGCAGCATAGTACACTAGTCAGACCTTGATTCAAATCCCAACTCTGTTGCATGATAGTGGGCTTGACTTTCCTCATCTGTAAAAAGGGAAATTTTCCTAGTTCATAAGATGCTTGGAGAAATGAAGGAAATAATATATAACATGCCTAGCGTAAAGCCTTGTACACAAAAGGCATTGAATATATATTAATGCCCTTTTGAACAAGAAGTCAAGAATCACTTGGACTCTACCTGGAAACCCAGAGCCTTATTTCTGAGATGGGTAACTTAGCATATGTGTTATTTATCTCTCAAAACTAAATAATGGTAGTAGGAATGAAGGAAAACGGCCCTACCTCCTAGAGAAATTGAAGGATCCAGAAAGAAACGCTGACAGCAGGGAATGAATGTCTTCCCTCCCCTGTGCACATCTCTCTCCTTCCTCCCGCACTGGGCGGGGGAGGGCCTACAAAGCTAAGTAGGAGCTCCCTTGGTACTTGAGTGAGAGAGAGGAAAGTGGTGCCACTTTTAATATGGGTTTTCGTTTCTCTCCCTAGATACCAAACACAAAGGACAAGGGATGTACCAGGGGTGTACCAGGCAACAATGTGGGGGAAGGGAAATTTTCTTCAACTCAGCACAGGACGGTTAGGGAAGGGCATTTGTCACTTTGGTGGTTATCCATCAAGCCACCTTAAAAAACAACAACAACAGTAAGTCTGGACATCAAAGACAAAACCATCTATAGAACTAACAAATGCAAACACCTGACAAGTGAGAAAGCTTTATTGAAACACATATATTTCAGGGGGTGGAAAAAAAGGAACAAGTTACAACCCACGATCCCAAGTTATGCCCTCCATTTCAATATCAATCCACACCAACTAAACCTTTTAAAAACACTCCTCCCTGCAGTTTACACATACAATAGAAACCACCCTAGGCCGACTCTATTGAAAGGGATTTCTTCTCTGGTATAGATTACTTTCACGAACGACTTTGTGTAGACACACTTGTAAGAATAAAAAGGTCAGTTTGGAATAGTGAGTTTCAGAAAATGAACCTTAGATCATCAGACTCTTCTTAGAAAGGTCTCAACACATCAGACCCATGACATCTAGGTCAAGTTTAGGAAGCAATAGAAAAAATAGGAACTGAAACCACTTCAAGAAGGAAATCAGAATAACTGGGAGATTCTCTGAACACATTCTCCTGGAGCACTAACAGTGCCCAGCCTGGAGAAACACTGGACCAGTTTAGACAGTACTTGGCTACTCTGGCTGATGTAACGGTATTAGACCATATTCTGTGAGGCAACACACCAAGGACAAACACTAAGAAAGATGGGGTACATGAGAGTGAAGCTGTCTCATCTTCCATTAGAGAAATGAGGAGCTCTCCCACAACCGCAGTATCAGTTTAAAATGAAAAGAATTCAGCATGGGCTGGGAGACACTTCACCCTCAGTCATTCTGGTCCTCTGGGACCACTGAGAAGCCCTTGCTGAGCATGTCCCTGACTCAGTTGAAAGGCCATTATCTAATTAAAGTTCTGTTCTAAAGCAGCTCCATTATAAGGGTCCCCCAAAAGTCTAGTGAAGGTGTCTAGAACTGGAAGAAACTTAGGAATTTTCTTATTCTTTCAAAGAAAACTATTAGACCCAAGCAAGGTGGAAACTGCTTAAAAACAAAAAGAGCTAAAAGCCAAGTTCCAGAAATTTATCAAGGTAGAAATGGAGTTAAAAGCATAAATTGGAGAGGAAGGAAAGGACCTACTCACCTCTCTCCCATCTTCTCCCAAGTCTTTAGTAACCCAACCCTGCTTCCTACAGCCTTGGCCTCAGACAGGCACACCTTAAAACACAGACAGTACAAATACCAAAGGTAGCCAGGGCTTACTGGGGAAGTAGGAACAAGGATAGCAAGACAGGAGATAAAAAGTTGTTTTAAAAGATTTTTAAAGTTAATTAAACCTCACAAAGATATAAGAAAGAATGAAAACATACTAACTCTGAAAACATACTAAATTATGCACAAATAAAAACATTTTGAAGAGACCCTTATTCTTGAGCCTGCTTTAAAAAGAGCAACAAGTCACCATCACTCTAGCCTAATGAGATTTGTAGAAATACGTTTGTACACACGCATACATAACACACACACACACACATACACACACACATTAAATTATAAATCTTTGCTCTTGGTTTCTTCACTTCTTCTGACTGGCCCTGGACAGAGCTGAACCTGCAGAGAAGGACAGGGACTCATAAGCCCAGCTTCTGCTTGGCCATCGAGGAACGGAGCTGCAGAGTCCCTTCTGCCCAAGACCCTGGGTACTGTCGCATCTTCTGCCACAGGCTCACTTCTTCCCCAGTCGAGTCCATCCAGTCCACCACTTCCCCATTACTGATCCCTGAGGAGAAACACCAGAGGATGCTGAACAGGGACCCCACTCCTCAGCCCACCAGGAAAGATGGGTTATAGGGCAAAGGGAGCCACCCTCTAAAAGACAGTGTGCTATGAAGATGGGCTGACAGGGACAGCAGTCTGGAAACTGCTCCCAGTTGATCCTGCGCAGCTATTTCTGTGCTCCTGAGACTATCAAGAGACTTCAAATTGATGAAATGGGACTCCAAATGGCACACAGTAGCTCGAGACCTCTTATTCTGAGGCTGTTACAGAGCTCTAGTGTCTGACACCGCATGCCACAGCTACTGGCCTCTGTTGGGCAACTTGACTTAAACTTTTTTTTTTTTTTTAAAAGGCAGCAGCAGCAGCTGAACACCTTTTTCTCTAGCTGTAGACTCCAGGCCTGAAGTTTGGATTGTATGTGGCCTCAATCCTATTCTCTTGTACATTCATTCATTCAACAAACATTTATTGAGTGCCTACTGTGTAGCAGGTACTCTTCTAGGCTCTGGAGATAAAAGTGATGAACAAAGCAGAAAAAGTCCTGCCCATAGGAAGCTTACATTTCAATAGGGAAGACAGAAAACACACTAGTAAATCAACAAGAGTATTTCAAACAGTGAAGTAAACGTCATGAAATAAATAAACAGGCTGATTTGTAGTGCCTAGATCAGGGCCTCCTTTCAATGGAGTGGTCTGAGGGCCGCTCCAAGGAGATAACTGAGTCAAGATCTGAAGGAAGGGAAGGAGCCAGACTTTCCAGACAGAGGGAACACTAATTGCAAAGGTTATGAAGTGGGAATAAGCTCGGTATATTTGGAGAGCAGAAAGAAAGTCATTGGGGTTGGAGGTGATATAGGATGGATCATAAAGGAACAGAGGGTCCAGATTATCCAGGGGCCTGTATGCATGGTAAGAACTTTGGATTGTTTTCTAGGTACAAGAGGAAGCCACTGAAGGGTTTTAAGTAGGGGACTGATATGAACTGGCTTACATCTATAAAAACATCATTCTAGATGCTTGTGTTAAATACTTTGTATGAGTTATTAATGTACAAGTAGTATTGAAGGCCTCAGGAATGCAGAGACCGTAGAGAGAGAAAACACTAAGCCTTGAGAGCACCAATATTTAGAGTTTGGGTGGAGAATGAGGAACCCACAAAGAAAAGTGTACTGTCGATAGAAACTAAGTATTTCAAGAAAAAGGGAGTGATCAGCTATGTTAAATAGCATTGAAAATTCTAATAAGATGAAAACAAAACTTTGGCATGAGCACTTGCTCAGTGGAGTGGTGGGACAGAAGCCAGATCACAGTGGATTTTGGATTAAAGGAGAGGTGAGGAAGTGGAGACGATTCTTTTTAAGAAATTAGATGGGGGGTGTGGGGTCAAGAGAAGGTTTATTTCTATTTCTTAAGATTGGAAATACCAGAGCATATCTGTTTTCACCTCCTGTAGGGAGGCAGAGAGAATGAAACTGATCAGACAGGAGAGATAGGAGATTCCAATAGTGAGGTCATTGAGAAGGTGAGGGTGTGATCCAGAACACTTGGAAAGAGGTTGGCCTTGGCTAGAAAGGACTCTTCTTTCATTATAGCAGGATGAAAGATGAAAATTATAGGTAGGTTTGTGGATTTTTTTGGTGGCAAAATGATGGCATTCCTGGCAATCAGGGTCACATTTATCTATACACATAACAGCACATGAGCTCAGCCTTCCCCTAGGCCTGGCACAGAGTAGGCACTCAATAAATATTGGTTGAACATTAACTGAAAGGAAAGAAGACAACTCTGGTCATAGAGAAGCTTTGTAGGGAGGGGCACGGGTATATTAGGAGTGAACTATACAAGAGGCCTTTAAGACAGTGAGGATGGAGGAGAGGCTCTCACCAGTGCCAACACCCAGCCTGACCCCTCCCAGGAAGTCATTGCTGGCCAGGGGCTCCCGGTCCCACACAGTCAGTTCCAGGCACATGTTTTGTAGATCTTCCAGCCTCACACCATTGTAGACAAATGTATGGTTGTAGTGGGGATTCAGGGTCTTCTTCATCACAGGAGTTTTACGCTTACTGGCCTTGTTCCTCATGGGAAGGAGGTATCTGGCAGAGGGTGGGGAGTAATCAACAACCTACTCAAAGCTCGCAATATCTATCTAAATCCCCCTTTCCCCTACCACCAGGTATAGCCCAGGAAGGTGAGTCAACATTCAGATCCTAGTACACACACTCCCTCCTTTGAATCTGCTGAAGCAGAGTTCCTACTACCTCCACTAGATCATTCACCTGATTCAATTCCTTTAACCTGGAGAGAAAATTAACATATTGTTATCAGTGAGTTGTTGTTTATACTCCACCAAAAATGGGTTTTAAATATTTCGTTCCACTTCTATTGGGAAAGATCTTCTTTTTAAATAACAACTATAGGCATAGCCAAATATGATTTGCTAGAGAACTTAAGTCAGTGGAGCGGTCTATAATTTGTGGAAAACTGGCATTGCTTAAATATTGTGGGGAACAGAGTCCTGAGTTCCCAAATCTTGACAGTCAGGGACATAGATATTTACTCAGGATTAATTAAGAGCATAAGTCTATAACAAAGGAAAAGTCAGACCTATCTGTCTACCACCATTCTCTTTGGAAATGAACACTACAGCCCAGTCCAAACTGAGCTCAGACCAGTGCACAGTGGGTAGTGGAGGTTTTGCCATTACCTAATTTCAGGAACAAAGTTGGTCACTGGATGTGGTGGGACACACAAGGATAATATCCACAGAGAAAGGTTAAATTGGGTTCCTCTCTTAGCTCTCTTGTCCTGAAACTGGTTAGTTTGGTACTGGTCCAGGGACTCACCCCTTGACAAAGCTGTCTGAAGTCCCTCCAGATTTGGCAGCTGTCAGGTTCTTGGCTTCTTTGATCCACACCTGGAGCTCTCCCCCTTCCCCACCTTTACCTGTAAGGGATGTCACCCATAGCAAGTGAGCCCCCACATCTCCAGATTTCTCTTGAGCTTTACCTACATAGCACTTCCATTCCCTGCTCCTGAAGGCAGCAAGCTCCATGATAACTGGACCACACCTGACTTGTATTCTCAGTACCTAGCACAGTGCCGACAGTAAGCAAGATGTGCTCAATTGATAACAACAATAGCAATAAATGCTTATTGAAAACTGGCTATGTGCCAGATTCTACGTTAAGCATTTCTCAAAACAATGCTATGAGATATAAACTATTATTGTCCTCATTGTATAGATGAGAAAATTGAGGCTTAGAGAAATAAAGTTGCCTGATATTTGTCGAATGATTTTAAAAAAAGGGATCTCCTCCACTTGCGTTCTTGATCCCATCCCCTCTTCATAGGACTCATCAGGAGTCATCAATTTCAACCCCCACCTCCCATTTTTAATATCTCTTTCTCCACTGGTCCCATCCCTTCAGTCTAAATATATGCTAGTCTCATCTCTTCTTTTTAAAAAATCCTTTTATTTTTTTTGTGTGTGTGAAGAAGATCAGCCCTGCGCTAACATCTGCCAATCCTCCTCTTTTTTTTGCTGAGGAAGACTGGCCCTGGGCTAACATCCGTGCCCATCTTCCTCCACTTTATATGGGACGCCGCCACAGCATGGCGTGCCAAGCAGTGCGTCGGTGCGCGAACCTGCGAACCCTGGGCCGACGCAGCGGAGCGCGCACACTTAACCGCTTGCGCCACCGGGCTGGCCCCTAAAAAATCCTTTTAAAAGAAAATCTCCCTTTAACCTTATCTTCTTTTCAAGCTATTCTCCATGTCTTTCCTTTCTCTCACCATCAATTATCCTTAAAAAAAAAAAAAAAAGTCTACACTCACCACCTCTTCTTCTTTGCCTCATTCACTCAGCCTAGTTTCTAGTGAAATCTGGTTTCTGTTTCCACTAATCCACTGAAAATGTAACCTAACACGGATGAGCCATGTCACGATGAGTCATGAACTAAGAATTCTCATTGGGCCTGACTTCCCAGTAGTATTTCAATATTGTTGACAACCCCTGCTCCCTTCTTCAAGCTCTCTCCTGGCGTTGCTCTCTCCTGATAACCCTCTACCTCACTGACTTTTCTTCCTCTCTTCATCCTTTAAAATGTTGCTGTTCCCTATGGTTCTATCCTTGCCTCTCTTCTCTAGCACACCCTCTTTGGGGATCTCATTGATTCCCCAAATCCTATCGATTAGACCTTGCTGAAAGGATATTTTTAAGAACTTTGAATTCCCATTGCCAATGCATCAAGTTTAACTCCTTACCATTATGTTCAAGGCCCTTTCCAGCCAGCTCTAGCCTCATCTCCAATTCCAGCCCCACTCCCACATCTACATATCATAACTCCAGCCCCACTGAAATAAGGAATTCACTCCATCACACTCACACACAACCCCACATTTACCACACCTTTTTAAAACCTTTGCTCATGGTATCTCCTCTTCTGGAAATGCTCTTCTCACCTCATCCTCTTCCTTTCTGCCTAGTAAAGTCTTAAGTACAGTTTCATGATTGCTGCCTCTGTAAAGCTCTCCCAAATGTAAGCAGACAGAATTCATCACTCCCCTATCTGTGTTCTCTTAGCATATGACTGTCTTTATTGCTACACTAAGCTCTTCAAAGGAGGGCAAATATCGCGTCTTATTCATCTACATATCCATAGTCACTAGCACAGTGCCTGTGTGATTTCCTCTTCCTCAGCCTTCAATTTATTGTCCCTCATACTTTACCTCCCCTTCCAACCACCCTTTCTCAGCCCCAAAGTCTCTATTCTGTTCCGCGCTCTTAGTAGCTTGCCACAGCTGGACCAAGACCAAGTCAGTTTAATGACCTAAAAAAAAGAATGCCAACTCTAAGGCATTCCCTTCTGCTTGAAAAAGTCAAAAAAGGCTTACTTAGTAAAGGAATCTTCTCTAGAAGACGCTCCAGGGTATATCTCAATCTGGTCTCTCCAACAGTGCTAGCCACTAGCCAGCACCACCTCACACAGAAACTGTGCAGAAAAGTAAGCTAAACCAGGGCCCCAAAGAAAACTCACTCTTTTTCCGGTCACCTCCAACAGGGAGTTTGGAGGCTGGGATGTATTTCAATGAAACCACCAACTCGCCTTTGTGTGATGGCAAGCCAGGCGGGGACTCAGCACTGATCTGAAACAAAGGGAAACCCAACAGGTCAAGCTGGGCTTCTCAGGAGTTGTTGGGACCTCTCGCTGAGGAGATTCTAAAATTACCCCCAAGAACAGCTTCATGGCATAAGAGGATCCTTCTCCCTATGAATACAATATCCATGGTCCCTAGGCCATGGCAGCCACAGGTTTCTAAGGCGGTTTCTTCAGAAGGAGCTGCAGAAGGACGAACAAGAGTCTTCTGCAATGCCCACTATTTTGCTACTTTGGGGATACAGTTACCAGATTCCAAATACCCTCAAAGGTCTTCCAGCAAGGTTGCCACAACAAACTCACAGGGTACCGACACCATGATGAAGAATCTTGCTACTAGCACTGTTAGTAATAGCCAAAAAGCGGAAACAATCTAAATGTCAATCAATATAGCAAAGGATTAGATGAGTGATTTTAATGCCACCATATGGCATATGGCATGCAATCATCAAAAAGAATGTAGTGAATCTGTACATGCTGACATAGAAAGATGTCAAAGATGTATTGTTAACAAAGCAAGATGCAGAAAAGTATCCCACTTATATTAAAATATATTCATATTTATACATGTGAATATATATGTATGTAAAAAATGATTATCATTACCACCATATAAATGCCAGGCACTGTTATAAGTACTTTAAGTATATCATTTTGTTTAATCCTTAAGATAGTCCCTATGAGATAGGTACAATTATCCCCATTTTACAGATTGTGGAACAGAGAGGTTAAGTAACTTGCTCAAGGTCACACAGTTAGTAATTGGCAGAGGCAGGATTCAAATTCAGACAGACTGGTTCCAGAATCCATGCTTTTAACCACTACACTACACTGCATAGAAAAACCCAGAAGGACACAGACAAACTTAACACTTGTTTCTTCTAAGGAAGGGAGTGAAATAGGGAAAGGAAAGAGGGCTTTCACTTTTTACTTTGTATATATTTATAGTGTCTTTTTAATGAGAATGGCATGTATCACTTATATGATTTTCAAAGATAAAAAGTGTTTTTTAAAAGAGAGCTTGCAAAGATTTGAGGGCTAGGTGGAACTCTGTTACAAGGATTTGAATATGCCACAACTTTTAATTTTACATTTATTTCTGTTACTTTTGATTAATTACTCTACCACCAGAATCTAAATGCCAGGAGGACAGGAATCAAGTCTATTTTTGTTCATCCTAATAAGCCCAACACTTAGCAAAGTACCTGGCACATAGTAGGTACTCCACAAATATTTACTGAATGAATGCAAGAGTGAATGAATGAATGTCTGGGATGAGCAGCAAGTGGTCTAGCATCTTTGGCTATGGATAGCAGAACTGCTTCACTCTACTGGCTCTCTTGGCGGTGGCTCTGTTCTTTGTGATCTGGTATCCAGAACATGAGCTGGTGCCAACCAGAGATGCCCTTTCACCTGCCTGTGTTCTATGGGGCTCCTCTAGCCTATGTCCTCACCACTAAGCATACTGATGCCAGGAAGGCATAATCCACATCGGTTTCGAAAAATGTACCACATGCCCAGAATGCACAAAGTTCAGTGTGTGGGAGAGAGGCAAAAGAATAGGGAGGTGGATACCAGGAAGAGAAAACTGAATGGGAGCAAATAGATTACTAGGGCAAAAAAAGAAAAAAAAAATCAGAGACAATAAACGTAGAATGTTTTAAATTAAAATAGATATGTAATACCGGAGTGGTCTTTTTGTTCTTTATAAAATGTCTACACAATTTATTAATTTCTAGATTGTGAACTTCAGTGGACTCTTCAAAATTGGAGTTTAGCCTTAGCAGGAAATTGGTGTATTTGTTTCAGTAGCCTATTTTCATTCTGGCTCAAAATAATTGCAAAGACCAAATACCTCCATTTTAATGCAGTTCTTTCTTTTGATATAAGACATTTTTATTGGCAGTAGTTTATGATGGTTTACAGTGACATTTCCAATATAATTATATCAGCTGTAGACCCCTGAGAGAATGACTTGCATGCCAAATGCTTAAGAAATTCTAAATTTCTAATAATATACTACAGTTTAGTGATAATTGCTTTCTCATTTTTATCAATATTTAAAGGGACAGATTTAATGTTATTATTTTTTTGGAGGGCAGTGGCTATCAAAATATTGGATGTACATTTCCTTTGACTCAGCAATTCCACCACCAGAAATTTCTCCTATAGTTACATTCACAAAAGAAAACCAAGATATGTTAGAGCATAGTTTTAACAGCGAAAAAAAAAAAGCAAACAATTTAAATGCCCATCAGTGAGGGTATGGTAAATAAATTATAATACAGGCACATGAAAGAATACTATACAGCAATTAAAATGAGATAGATGTGTAAGTGATGGCATAGACAGATGTCCATGATAAATGATAAATTGTTAAATGAAAAAAATGAAGATATACATACACAATGAGGTTCATATGAGCCCATTTGTGTAAAAAAGGAAAAAATATAAATCCATATGTGTATATCCGTGCTGCTTAATACAAAATTTCTATAAATATATCCAAATAGTTGATAATAGTGGTTATTTCTAGGGAATGGAACCTACTCTTTTTATACACTTATATGTTGTTTTAATTTCGAACCATGCGCATATAAATCCTTTTACTCTTAATTTTCTTAATAAGCAATATGCGTAGACATGGTAAAAAGTTCAAATGTTCTAAAAGGGCCTACAGAGAAAACTAAATTGCCCCCATACCTCTGTCTGTCTTCCTAGAGGCAGCCACTACTACTAGTTTCTTATGAATCTCTCCAAAGAGATTCTATGTACCATGTACTATTTTTAGCATTTAAAATGCTAGCGTAAAAAAATTTTACAGAAGAATCTTGCCATTAAACAGTTCTGATAATCAAGAAGTCCTAGCAAATTCATCTTAACCAGAATGACAGTAACCTATTGAATGTCCACTATGTGCCAGGCACTGATGGCTACTTTGTATACAAACCTGCAATATGGGAATATTACTATTATCTCCATTTTATAGATGAAGAAACTAAGGCTCACAGAAGTTAGGTGACTTACCTAAGTTATTTAAAGTTAGGTGACTTACCTAGCTGGCAAATAACAGAATCAGGATTTGAATCCAGGTCTGTACCCAGATCCCAGGCACTATTATGCACACTGCTACACTCTCACCTTAGATGCCACTTCCAAAGTAAAATTTTCCCTGGCTGTGTGACCAGGAGCACAGCAATTGGAACTCCATGAATTGCTTTACTTCCCATTTCTTTAGCGAAAAGGTTAGTTTGGAAGAAGAGTGCAGATTAGGATACACCCAAAAGGTTAGCGTAAAGAAGAGGTGCAAGTTAGGATGTTAGGATACACCCAGACTCTGTAAGGTTAGGAAGCAAAGCTTGGCACACATATGAAAGACTTTTCAAAGGAAAACCATGGCTTCATCCTTTGGGCTACACAGAAGAGATTACTCAGACTTGACATACAAGTGCATCTGAAATTACTGTCAAACACAGAAACCCCAGCAGGGTGCGCTAGAATGCTACAGAAGACTACATTCAAAGACGCTACCAACATGTACCAGCAGAGGTCACTGCAGACAATTCTACCTCAGATCCAAACTGTGGAAGGAGTTGTTAAAGCCGACTACCTTTCCATGTAAAGGGAGGCAATGATCCAGTTTCTTATCAAGCTTCCAGGAATCCATCTGGACCTCTGCCTCTCCAAGGAAAGTGTTTCTGCCAAAACGACCATGATGCCAAACCGAGAACTGCAAAGTCCTCTGGGTCAGGAGAGATTCTGGGATCTCATACTGTGAAAGAAAAGGAGAAGTCCAAGATGATTAGTTAGTGGTAATTCCTCCAAAAAGATTATTCCAAAACCTGAGCAACCACACCCAAAGTCCACAGTCCTGAATATCAAATTACTTTAGTCGCTAAGCACTTTGAGGTTCCTCACTCAAAGCCTCCACTTACCCCATTTCACAAAAACATACCATATTCCATGGGAGGACCTGGAAAATCAATTTTTCCTTGAGTGGGTGAGAGAACATGGGAACATTCAAAAAGAATTGCCATGGAGACTCCTGATCCCAAATGACTTTTTAAAATGAGATTTGTGGCCACGTGAATCTCCAACTTCACAACCATCCAAGAAAGCCAGATCACATTTTCCTCTTCTCTGGAAGCTCGGGATGTGAACAGATGCCCATAGTGTATCCTCAGACACAGACATGGCCACTGAAAACCATGTCAACCAGCCATGTAGCAGAGGAATAGCTACAGCTCAGCGCACAAGACAGAACAAGTTCTCCTACCCTGAGGATCTAGATACTTACTCTGAGGATCTCATCATAGAGTGGATTGACAGTATCCTGCTTGATGCTGGTTTTTCTTTTTCCTTGGCGGGACTTGTCAGGCAGAAGATAAGTCTTCACGTATCTAGAAACCAAGGAGAATACTGAGTAATTTGCCGTCTTTTCTCAAGCCCATTCTTCACTTTCCTGCTCTCCATATACATATGCCATGATGAAATGAAAATGTCACACCAAGCCCTCTTAGACATGCCGTTCTTGCATTTTCCCAATCTAGGTCCCTTTCCCACATCGCCCCTAAACACTCTCAATCACACCTCCTTGTCTGCCCAGGAACAGATAACCTCTATTCAAGAGTGCCCAGACAGATGCTAGGGTATGAGCTCTCATCTCAGAGCATCAGTCAGATTCCAGAAGAACTCACGGGTTAGAGCGCTTCTTGGCTTCATCAGCATAAGCCAGCTGGTGGCACTCCTTCACGTGGATGACCAGAGTCTGTGTTTGCTGCTCATACTTCAGGGAAAAGGCAATCTTGCCAGTCACAGAGATGTTCCCAAAATCGCCAGCTTCGCTATAGATGCTCATCATGCTGCCGATTGTACTCTGAAGAGAATGCACCCACAAACATCTGGTGAAGGCATACACCCCCTGCCACATTGCTCACATCTTCCCTCAGGATAAAGCCATAGTCACTGAACAAAACGCAAGTTTCAGAAGCCCCTGCAAAAGTCAGTACTGCCAACAGTCTTGGACGTAGAGTATAAGACAGCTCGTAGCACACTCACAACTGTCTGGGTTAATAAATCAGCCCATGGCTCCCCTAGGCTCTTAGCTTCTCTTCTGCCTCTCTTTATACACATTTTATTGTTAATTTTCGCCTGCCTCAGAAGGTGGGCAAGGAGTAAAGGAAAAGTGTAACTAAGTCCATTTTTGGTGTATGTTATATATGCTAAAACGTTGGCTAGAAGGGGTCACTTACTAATTAAAACAAGACCTATAGAGAAAAGTGATTGCATCACAATTAGAGAGAAAACCCCACTAGAGGTGAAAAGACATCTTCCTCTTGGGTAGTAATCAGCTCTCCAAGCCCGCCATTCTCTTCCTGTGTGTGAGTAGGAACAAATTCTACTCACCCTGGTTCCTGACTCTATTTCTCCTAAACATCAATCTTCATACTTATGACAGAACTAGGCCCTTTAACTTCATGATTCTGATTGGTATTGTCACTCCTTAATCAAACCCTGATGCCACTTAACCCTTGAATGTGAGATCTGGAGTGGGCCCTGATGAAGAAATCTGATCTTGCTCACTTCATGGCCTGGGTATCTCTTTAGGGGATAAGTTATGGATTATTGTTCACAAGGCTGTGATGAACAACGTCTCCAGCCCTAATTACCTGACATACGAATCTCCAGGGCAGAGGCTGAGGAAGTCACCTAGCTGTATGCTAAGCAACTACAGTCTAAATTGAGGACTAGAATAAACAAATGCACCTCACTTACCTGGAAAGAGTGATTAGGAGGATTTCCCCAGGTTCTGACTCTGCACTAGGGAGGCACTTCCTTCCTTCCTGTACCCCAACATGTCTATAGCCACAGAACTAATAGAACTTACCATGGAGGAGCCACTTCGCATGCTGCTTCTGGCTAGCTTCTGGCGATGCAACTTCACCAGGTGGTCAATGTCTTCTTCTTCTTCTTCCTCTTCCTAGAACAATAAAATATAGACTCAGAATTTAATAAAAATAAAAAAAGTTCAAAGACTAATATCCTTCCTTTAGTGGGAGCCATAATTGTTGCTAAGCTCTGAGGTGTCATGTGCACGTGTACGCACATATCCTTATTTTATGTCTCCTGATTTCAGGCTTCTATGCTATATTACAACCATCTTTCTCAAATCTCAAAGGAATAAGAATATCTCTTTCCCATTTGACAGCCACAACCCAGCCATTCCTTTACATTTAATCAAAATACATGTTTATTTGAGCCCCCAACCATATATCAAGCAATGAATTAGAAGATAAAAGAGACAGTGAAGACAGTCTTTACTTTAGAAATTTGGGGGAATCAAGATTCATGTTGCCTTTTCCTAAAGAATTAAACAGGTTGATTGAGAGTATCAGTTACTACAGTCAACTCTAGATATATAAAATTTCATATAGTGACCAAGTGAAATACAAGGGTACTTACCATATCCACACTGAGGCCTGGGACAGATTTGCTTCTGTCTCCCAAGGAGCCACTTTCATGCCCCACATCTTCTGGGCGAAGATCGATCACAGATTTAGTGTATTCTGAGGGAAGACCAAAACCCATATCAAAAGAGACCTACTCTTCTCCATACCAAGAACCTATCAAGAGTACTCAGAACATCAATCTCAAAAGGCCATGAAGGGAAACCAGCTACCTGAAGGCCTGAGGATTTTTCTGGTGTTCTTCTTGAATATCATTTCACTCTCATCGACAGATACCACGTTTTGACCCCCAGGCTGAGTTTCCTAGGAAGGAATAGGGCAAGGAAATGGAAAAAGACAGTTGGGTAGGTGGAAGGATGGAGTAAGGAAGGATAGCCTTAAGAAGAAAAAGGCGGGGCTGGCCCTGTGGTGCAAGCGGTTAAGTGCACGTGCTCTGCTGCGGCAGCCCGGGGTTCGCGGGTTCGGATCCTGGGCGCGCACCAACGCACCTCTTGTCAAGCCATGCTGTGGCGGCGTCCCATATAAAGTGGAGGAAGATGGGCATGGATGTTAGCCCAGGGCCAGTCTTCCTCAGCAAAAAAAGGAGGATTGGCAGATGTTAGCTCAGGGCCAATCTTCCTCGCAAAAAAAAAAAGAAGAAGAAAAAGGCTCAGATTTTTGGTGAACTATGACAAACTTAAAGGAAAAATTAATTTAATCTTAGGAATTTAATTTAACCCTAGGAAGTAGTATAAAACCTATTTCTCACATGTTTCAACCAAAACCTTAGAGAATGCTCCAAAGTGAATCTGAGCTTAAATTTGTTTAGATGAATTCTTGATTTAAATTCTTCCTGAGAAAGGAAAAAGAAAGAAAAAGAGAGAGAGAGAGAGAGAGGCGCCAACCAATAACTAAAGTTTACCTTTTCTACTTGAGATTTGGGGGCAGACATCTTCTTCCATTCTGGAAAGAGGCCAGATTTATCCAGAGAGTCTCTCCTAGAGGTAGATACAGAAGTTATAACAAACTCACCTCCTCCTCTTCTCCTTCTATCTAGGGACCCAAGCTCTATGGAAGAAGAGCCACTGGCTTGGGGACATCGTAGTAACCAAATCCAGAAGGTAAACTTCATATTTTGAAGGAATGCAGACAATCAGATAAGCAACTTTGCACAAACACAGACACTCACGCCCCCATTCCTAAGGGACAACAGCTTCAGTTACTGCTGGTCCAGGAAGACTCCTCCAAGGTAGAGCAGCCTGTGGAAGTTAGCATGTGCTCAGAGCCAATAGCAGAAGCGCTACTGAAAGACTTGTGGCAAGGTCAGAGTAAATACTTCATTTGACTTCCCAAGGACAAGTCAGGAACACTAAAGGCATAAGAGCCCTGCATCCTGATGCTAGATAACAAAATGAGAACTCGGGTTAAGTGGAGGTACAGGGACTGGGGGAGATCTCACCTGGATGTGCTATCTGAGTCAGCTGTGTAGCTATCCAGACTCTCACTCTCAGCCTCCAGCGCACTCTTCCCACTTTTCAGCTTGGGCACTTCAAATGGCACACTGGAATAAAAACCAAGAGCCAATATATCAAGGGAGTGGGTTCTCCTGCCAGGAGTCAGGCTTTCTGCCCATTCACAATGGTAGCCTAAGTAAGTGATCCTTTTAAGATGAATATCTGAGTATGCTTTTAAAACTGTTCAGTGGTTCCCCATTGCTATTGGGATTGAGTTCAAACTCCTTAGCATGGCAAGAAAATCCTTAATGATTGACCCCTGCTCACCTCTCCAGACTCATCTTTCACCCTCCACTTCTCTTTATACTTTACATTCCAGAATGATGAAGCTTTTTTGGTTCCCTGAATATGCCAAAGCTCTCTCTCTTCCCTCTTTTCTCTGCCTGGGATGTTCTTTTCACAATGGCCATTTTTCTTCACCTGGCTAAATCTATTCCTTCTTCAGGTTTCTCCTTATATGTCAATTCCTCCAAATCTCTCTGACCATGCCTCCACCCCAAGTCTGGATTAGTAACCTTCCTACGTGCTCTTAAAGCACCCTGATTCCTTGGTAGCAGTTATCACCTATGTAATTATTTGCTTATGTATTTTAAACAAATTATTTAATTTGTTCAATAATTTAAACAAATTATTTGTTTAATGTCTTTCTCCTCCATTAGACTAAGTTCCATGAGATCAGTGACCACATACCTTGTTCACTGCTGTGTTCCCAATGCCTAGAAGAGAAACTAGCAGAGTGGGCACTCAAATATTTGTTGACTGAATTCTTGACTAAATGCCCTCAGTGGGGCTTAAAGTATATACATAAATAAGCAGTATGTTTTGAATACAGTAGTCAGCAGACCAGAATTCATTTTTCAGCTGAATGAAGGATGACCCTGGGCATTCAAAACAATAGTCCTCATCTCTAAAGGGAAGGAGACAACTCCTAGGCCCATTACCACGAGAAATTTGTGTGAGTAGCAAGAAAAGGAAAAAAATAATTCGTCCTCAAGTATCTCAGGTAATTTCACTTGGCTGCCAGGACACCACCTTCTCCTGGCCCTCTGATCTCACTGGCTACTCTTTCTCAGTCTCCATTGCTGGTCCTTCCTCATCTCCTGGACCTCTAATATTTGGATTGTGTCCAGCTTTATTCCTTGGACTGCTTCTCTTCACTATTTAGAATTATCCCTAAATGATCTCATCTAGTCTCATGACTGTAAATAGCCTCTATAAACTAATAACAACTAAATTTCTCTCTCACTCAAATGCCAGACTTGTATTTCCAACAGCCTACTTGACATGTCTGCTTGGATGTCTCAAACACAGCAAGTCCAAAACCAAGGCCTTAATCTTCCCCCAAACCTGCTCTTCCGTCAATTTTATCAAATGGCAACTCCCTCCTTTTATTTCTCAGATCAAAAATCTTAAGAATCATCCTTGACTCCCCTCGCTCTCTCATAATATAAATCCAATCTGTTAACAAATCCTTTTGGCTCTATCTTCAATGTATATCTGGAATCTGACCCATTCTCATCCCCTCCAGTGCCATTACTCTGGTCTAAACCACCGTCATCTAGCACCTGGATGGTTGCAATAGTCTCCTAACTGAACGCCCTACTTCTGTCCTTGTTCCCATACAATCTATCCTCAACACAACAGCCAAAATGAGCTTTTAAAATACAAATCCAATATAGAAGTACCATATGACCCAGCAATTCCACTCCTAGGTATATACCCAAGAGAGATGAAAACACGTGTCCACACAAAAACTTGTACACAAATGTTCATAGTAGCATTATTCACAATAGCAATTCCACAATAGGTGGAAACAGTCCAAATTTCCATCAATGGGTGAATGGATAAATGAAATGTAGTGTATCCATACAATGAATTATTATTGAGAATAAAAAGGAATGAAGTACTAATACATGCTATAACATGGATGAACCTTGAAACATGCTAAGTGAAAGAAGCCAGACAAACGGCCATATTTTGTATGAGTCTATTTATATGAAATGTCCAGAATGGGCAAATCCATAGAGACAGAAAGTAGATTAGGGGCTGGGAGAAATCGGGAATGACTGCTTAATGGTCACGAGGTTTCTTTTCAGAGTGACGAAAATGTTCTGAAACGAGATAGTGGTGATGATTGCACAACATTCTGAAAGTACTAAAAGCCACTGAATTGTATACTTTAAAATTGTTAAAATGACTAATTTTATGTTATATGAATTTTACCTCAATTTAGAAAAAGAAAAAATAATATCTTGTCACTCAGAGCCCTCTTTCTCACTCAGAGTAAAAGATAGAGTCATCACAATTGGCAGCCAAGTATTACATGATCTGCTTCTCACCTCATCTCTGTCCTCGTCTCCTACCACTTCCCCCTCGCTCACTCAGTTCCAGATTACTCAAACATGCCAAACAAAACTCACCTTAGGGTCTTTATACCTGCTGCTTTCTCTGCCTAGAATGCTTTTCCCCCAGACACTCTCCGGGTCTGCTCCCTCATTTGCTTCATGTCTTTGCTCAAACATCACCTTATTAAGACTTTTCCCTGGCTATCCTAAATAAAACAGCATATGTACACATGCTTTCCTGGCACTCCTTATCCCTTTAGTCTACTTCATTTTCTCCACTGCACTTGTCAACACCTGATATATGATATATTTACTTGATTATTTATTATCTGTGTCCCCTACCCCCAAATCTAAGCTCCACAAGCAAGGGACTTTGTTGTATTCACCAGTGTATCCCACTGCCTAAAACAGTGCCTGGCAAATAGTCGGCATTCATAGATATTTGTTAAACAAATGGATGAACTAATAAGTGAACAAAGAACGAAGTAACGAAAATCTATAATGTCTTAGGCAGGAAAGAATAAAGTTTCCAGGTTATCACATGATGTTTGAGAAAGCTCAATGAAAACAGACAGCAGGGGTGGAAATCAGAGGGCATGAAGAGGGGAAACAGTGGTCATTTCTTGAGAGATGTATTAGCTTTATAGTCCAAGACACAGCGGGGAGCTTGATTTCATTTCTACTTTAGAATCAATCTTTTCCCCTTTTTGCCCCAAAGAATACAGAAGCCAAATTGGAACCATTCCTCTAGAGAGGTACTTTAACAATGGCCCGTGAAGAGGGTTTTCTGCTTGTATTTTTTCCTAGATTAATACATACTGATCCAGGACTGATACAAACAACCCTAGGGCAAAAAAAGCAATTATTTGGCATCTGTGCAGTAAAAAATAGACTAAGATATGGGAGTCCTGGGCTCTAACTATCTGTATGATCTCAGGTAAATCACTTATCCTGCTTTCTTTTCTGTAAAAATAAGGGGGTTGAATTCAATTATCTCAAAGGCTCTATAATTTTATGGAAAAGGATCATTTATGACCACTTAATCTGTTTCCATGTTTAGGATAAATAAGAGTCTTCTGGGTCCAATGAGACAAGAGATCACAGCCAGCCAGAAGCAGTAGATTTCAAAAATTACATTCTGACCGATGATGTCAGATGTGTTAATCACGTTCAGGAAATAAAAGCCATTCTTATCCTTACCCACAAAGGAAAAAGGGGCCCTCATCACCTAGAATAGATGAGTCACCCACTCAAGGTCGTGTGGATAAACTCACAGTACCTACATACAGCGAAACACTGTACAGACAGCAAAAAGAATGAGGTAGATCCTTGGTGCTGACATGGAAAGATATTATATTTGTCTATAATTTTTCCTTTTACACCTTGCGTTATAACTGACATAAATAAACTGCACATTTAAGTGTGCAATTTGATGAGTTTTGACACATGTATACACTTAGGAAACCATCAGCACAATTAAGTTAGTGAACACATCTATCACTCCCAAAAATTTCCTCGTGCCCCTTCGTAATCCATCCCTCCCTCCCTGCCCCATCCCCAAGTAAGTGTTGATCTGCTTTCTGTCACTAAAATTTAGCTTGCATTTTCTAGAATTTTATATAAACAGAATTATACAGTATGTCTCCTTTTTCGTTTGGCTTCTTTCACTCAGCATGATTACTTTGAGATTCATCATATTGTTGCATATATCAGTAGTTCATTTCTTTCCACTGCTGAATAGCAGTCCATTGTATAAACAAACCACAGTTACCCCTTCAGCTGTTGATAGACATGTGGGCTGTTTCTAGGTTTTGGCTATCACAAATAAAGCTGCTACAAACATTCATGTACAAGTCTTTGTATGAACATATGCTTTCACTTCTCTTGAGTAAATATCTAGGAATAGAATGGCTGAATCACAAAGTGGGTGCACATTTAACTTGTTAAGACACTACTACACTGTTTTTCAAAGTGGCTGCACTGTTGTACATTCCCACCAGCAGTGTATGAGAATTCCAGTTGCTTTACATCCTCACCAACAATTGGTATGGCCTGTCTTTTCAATTTTAGCCATTCTAGTGGGTATAGAATAGTATTTTATTGTGATTTTAATCTGCATTTGGCTAATGACTAATGATGTTGTGCATCTTTTCATGTGCTTATTTGACAGCTGTATATTGTCTTTGGGGAAATGTCTATTCAAATCTTTTGCCCATTTTCTATTGGATTATCTGTATTATTTTTTTAAAGTTCTTTTTCATTTTTTTTCCTTAACACGTATATGGTATGATCCTCTTTAAAAAAGAAGTTAAAAATTTAAGAATCCCACCCATATTTGTACATTTAGACAGTCTGGTAGTCCATACACCAAAACTATTAACGACTATTAACAATAATTGTCCGGGGCAGAAGCAGTGAGGTTACTGGGAACTCATTTTATATTTCTATATTGCTTCTCAACAATCATATAACACGTGATTAAGTCATTTCTCTTTGGTTGAGGTAAAGTTAGGAAAAAAACACAAATAAAAAGCCAAAAATTCACCAGCAGCAACCAAATGAGGAAAGGAGTAAAGCATCAAGTCATAAAGTTCAAAAAGTCACGGCTAAGAAAACAGAAGAAAGATTTAGCTCAGAAAAACTCCTTCCAATGTGGAGATGTGCAGACTATGTAAGTCCTGGGATAAGTTAAGGAAAACAAAAGTCCTCGAGATTTGTGGCCCCAGGTATCATTGGGGGACCCCAACAAAGGCAGACGAGACTGCTGGAGTATGTCATCTCTCAGGGCACTGGTATGAGCTAGAGGACGCATCCAGAGCTGGACTGAGTGAGCCCAGACCCTTAAGAGAATTTCAGGAGACCAAAACCCAGGACCCCCAAGGTGCCTCTTGCCCCTCCCCTCAGGTTCCGAAAAAGAAGTATATAGAAACCAACATTACCTCAATAAAAAAAAATGTAATAAAAAAGTAAGGAATATTCTATCCTTAAACTAAAGTATAGTTGGGTGGGGGGAAGAGATAAATTGTTTCAAGTTGAGGTGAGAAGGCTGTCAAGAACAATTCACACACACTGTATCAGAGCAAACAAAAGACATGGGCAGACCTTCCCATGTTAAACAGCAGTAAAATGAAAAGAAATGGTCAGGCAGATATATAAATAAGCCATGGGGTGGGGAGAAATAGAAACAACTTGCAAGATGGAGAAAGAACCCATTCTGGAGTAGAATATAACCCTAGAAAAAGAAGCAGATTTCTTGCGAGTGCTTTAGACTACAGAAGAACTTAAGAATATATTGATAAAGCACAAGAGCTCAAATACAAGATGATAAAACAACAAAATTGGAGAAAAAGGAAGATTGAGAGCAAAGAACAAATTAAAACCTAAACATGATAATTCATTCAAATAAGTAAATTAGATACAGCAAAAAGGGAGAGAGGGAAAAAGGGAAGGAGGGGAAGAAAGAAAATGGCTGAAAATCAAAGTAACACAGAGGAAAGGGTTGCGCTAATCATGGTTAATTGCTTTCATCTTTCTCTTTTTCTCTTGCATTTGATAGTTAAAGAAAAGGACAGAAATGGAGGATAAAGAAATCCAATGTCCTTGAGGTGGAGAACTTAACTGATGAAACAGAAAAAGAGTTCAGAGGTTACAATACAGAAAAATTTTCCAGCAATGAAGAAAGAACTCATCAAGGATACACCTCATATTAGGCAAAAATGATACAGGATGATCACCATTGAGATACATCCTTGTTAAGTTACTACACTTCAAGAAAAATAAAAGGAATTTTTCAGGCATGCATACACACACACACACGCACACACACACAGAGTAAATTACCTACAAGGGAGAAAAACAAGAGGCTAGCTGGCCTCAGACTTCTCCACAGTGACATTCAGTGGCAGAAGCCAATGGAGTAATGGCTACAACATTCTGAGGGAAAGAAAGCGTGACCTAAGAATATAATATCCAAAATATTGTTCAAGTATAAAGGTACTAGGAGACATTCTTAAGATGAAAGAATGAAATAAATATAGTACCTGTTAGCTCTTCTTTTATTATTATTTTTTTTTGTGAGGAAAATCAGCCCTGAGCTAACATCCATGCTAATCCTCCTCTTTTTGCTGAGGAAGACCGGCTCCGAGCCAACATCTATTGCCAATCCTCCTCCTTTTTTTTTTTTCCCCAAAGCCCCAGTAGATAGCTGTATGTCATAGTTGCACATCCTTCTAGTTGCTGTATGTGGGATGCGGCCTCAGCATGGCCGGAGAAGTGGTGCATCGGTGTGCGGCCGCCAGTAGCGGAGCGCGCACACTTAACCGCTAAGCCACAGGGCCGGCCCCCATTAGCCCTTCTTGAAGGAAGTTCTCAATGATAAAATCCAGACAACCAAGAAATAAATCAAAGTAAAGAATTCAGAAATAGAGAGAAGCTATGGTCCAAGGCCTGGCTGTAAGCATACAATCCTTTTAAACACGAACTAAAACTAAATAAATAGATAAAACAAGTAGATGATTTATGGTTGCATAACAGAATGTAAATGTTTTAAGTCCTGACAAAGTAAAAATAATTTGAGTAATAAAAAGTGGGAGTAGGGAAAATAGTTGGGAGGAAGTGTAAGAAAGCCAATCTCCTCCTCTTTCATAGCAGAGAGTCCACTGATGTTTAATATTGAAACAGGTAGATTTAAAAAATGACTAAATGACCATTTGACCCAGCAACTCCACTCCTAGGTATCTACTTAAGAGAAATGAAAACATATGTCTACACAATAACTCATAACGAATGTTCAGAACAACATTAACTATAATAGCCAAAAAGTGGAAACAACCCAAATGTCCATCAACAGATGAATGGATAAACAAATGTTGTATATACATATAATGGAATACTATTTGGCAATAAAGAAAATGAAGTACTGATACATGCTTCAACGTGGATGAACCTTGAAAACAGTACGTTAAGTGAAAGAAGACAGTTACAAAAGACCACGTGTTGTATGATTCCATTTAAATAAAACGTCCAGAATAGGAAAATAGAGACAGAAAGTAGATCAGTGATTGCTTAGGGATGGTAAAGGATAGGAAGGTTGGGGGAATGATAGCTAAAGGGTACAGGGTTTCTTTTTAAGGTGATGAAAGTTCTAAAATCAATTTAGGTGGTGGTTGCTCAATTCTGTGAATATACTAAAAACCATTGCATTGTACACTATAAATGGGTGAATTGTGTGATATGTAATTATATCTCAATAAGATTGTTACCAAAAAGACACTAGAAAAAAATGACTAACTGCTCAATGGTTTTCATAATATTTTTTCTTAAACTTAGAGGGATATTAATGACTAATATCTTTTATGGCAAAGAAACATTTGCCTGAATATTAGCAATTCTTCAATTTTATTTCAGTGTTTTATTCTGTTAAATTCAAGCAAAATTAAACAGAATGTTTTTAATTTAATACATTATGATCCAATATTATAAAGGTTTTTCAGTCGATCCATCCACCCATCCCTCTATCTATATATATATATATATGCACAAAAGATATCTAAAATAATTTTCACAGAATGTGAATACTGGGGTAGTAGGAATTTGGGTGATTTGTTGTTTTCTTTATTATTTCCTATACTGGTTAAATTTTTAATAATGAGTAGGTGTTATTTTTATTTATCTTCAAATTGTTTTTATAAAGAACAAAGTAAATATGCCAAAATGTTAATGTTTACATGTGGGTAGTAGGATTAGGAATTTTTTTTCCTCCTTCTTTATTCTTTTCTGTACTTTCCATATTTTCCTTCAATGAACACTTATTATTTTATAAATAGAAGAAAGTAAAAAAATAATAGAATTAAAGGGACATGTAGCATTTCTTTAAATGATTGCTTGGTTCTTACCTGGGCTCCTTCTGTTGCTCCTGAATGATTTTTCTTCCTGGCCAGATATCGCCCATCTGTGACTGATGAAGGAGGGACTGTCCCACTGTCTCTCTTTTATTCACTTCAAAACAAACAAAAGCACGGCAGAGTGGTGATGACGAGTGGGGAAACGGAAACACATCACACTTGCAGAAGGGATGGCAATACAATCTTTATATTCCCCACAAACAGGCTGAGCCCATGGAGTGAAGATACCACCAGTTAAGAATACACTAGGATTCCACACCAGAGGATCTATCACTGAGATCAAGCACCTCAAGGAACCATTTCTAGACAGGTCTGGTACCTGCAGGTTTGCGGCGCAGGGACATCCTGATTATCTCACTCCCTGTGCGGTAAGCAAAGCGATTCACTTTCTGGTCATAAAACCAGTCTCCAGTTGCCTTCTTCAGCTCTCTGGGATGGAATGAAAGAAAATGACATATGGATGAAAAATGGCCCTTGTCATTCAACCAACAAAGGCCGAGGGGAGAAAGTCTCACCACACCTGGGGCCTCATTTCCTCTCTACTCAGCCATAGGCGACACTCACATTTCCTTGGCGCACACCTTGCACCTCCAGGTACCATTGCTTTCCTGGATGCGGCAGTCCCGGCACACCAGGTGATTACAACCCCGACAAGTGTTGGTCTTGGGAGTCAAACGGCCCAGGCTTTCCTGGCACCGGGCACAGGTCCGATCGCTATAGTGTTGGCTGCCCCTCTTGGCCCCTTTCCTTTTCATCTCCAGTAACTCATTCTTCAGTCGCCTGCCAAGACCAAAAAGAGAAGGACAAGTGGATTCAGAATCTGCATAAGCTGGATGGAGAGGGCTTGAGGGGTAGAGACAGTAAGACTATTTGGTTCTGTGAAAGCAACAACCTCAGAGCTCAACCTCACTCAATGAGGGGCTGTAAACCTCACATACAAGTTCCTCTGAAAGTCAGATGAGAGGTATAAGGAAAAGTCCAGATATCATTGGTCAAAGGCCTGGGAACCCATGCTTTTTCTGGGAGTCTTACCTAATCCTTTTCTCATCTGCTTTCCGGAGCTCCTCATCTCGTTGTATAACACTGAGGATCAAATCCCTTTCCATGTCAGACAGAAAAGAGAGGTCAAGTATCTCCGACATGATTTATTCTATTTTTTCCTCTACTATTCTTTCTTCAAAGCAATCAGACCAGGAGAGCTACCAGAGTTGCCTGAAATAAGATAAGAACTAATTTCACACACATAATTTACTCCAGAGTAAGCCCACAGCCCTTGAGCCTTTGGGTAGGCTACTTCCCCCTTGAGCCAGGCTAAAGAGACAACATCGAAGTATCTGACCTTTCTACCAGTCATACGCCCACCTGAATCCTGCCCTGCAAATGAAGAGGCTTTGATTTTTCAAGAAGAAAAGGGAAACAGTTGTGTCTTTCAGCATAGGCATCTTATTCTGGAAAGAGTACAGAATAGCTGAGTCAAACTCCCACTCCAGCAAGTGGATCCTCAATCATCCTATTTTCAACTTTAAATGTTTAAATGAACGTTAAATATTTTCAAGTCCCAAGTCTATTAACCCAAATAATCAGAGAGCTGGTCTCTGTGGTGGAGGAGAAAATCACATGGGGACTCCAGCCAGTGAAGCCCACTTCTCCTTTCCTGACCAGCTTCCATGTGCCCAGGATTGAGTCAGCTTTCTGCTACACTTCACAACTTCCACCACCTACTCTATCTCCCAAAGTTCTTACTGCGAACACTACCTCAAGAATATCTTCACCCATTTCACACACATTTGTTGAGCACCCACTCTGACAGGCATCGTGCAAAGTGCTGGAGATACAGAGCTGTGTAAGACACAGTTCCTGTCCTTAAGAAGTTCACAGAGTTAGTAGAGGAGACAAATACATATAAATACAGTACAATGTACTAAGTGCTATCAGAAGATAATAAATTAAGTACTGTGAGAACTTAGAGAAGGAAGTAACTAATTCTATCTTGCACAGAGAGGGGAGAGAGCTGTATATATGAAAGGTTTTACAGAAGAGGTGGATTTTGCCTTATAGAACAGAGTATAGGTTTGTTGGTCCGGGAGAATGGTAGGAAAGATAGGTTGGGGCCAGACTTTATAACTCTCAAATATGTACGTATTTTCATATGTAAATAACACTTGCATATAATGGCATACTATGCATCCATTAAAAAAATTTGGTGAATCTGTATGAAAATACGTCCTTGAATGAAAAAAAAAAAGTAGCTGTAGGACTATACTGAATGATCTCTTTGGTATGTATCCATACATTTGTATATGCAAAGAAAAAGGTCTAGAAGAAAAACCATTATCATTGGTTTCTCTTGGGGAGTAAAATTGGGAGAGGACAACTTTCACTTGTTATTTTACATAGCTCATTTTTTAATATGTCTTACTTTTTTATTGATGTTTTAATAGTTTATAACATTGTGAAATTTTGGGTTGTACATTTTTGTTTGTCCATCACCATATATATGTCTCCCTTCACCCCTTGTGCCCAACCCCCACTCCCATTGCCCCTGGTAACCACAATACAGTTTTCTCTGTCCATGTGTTGGTTTATATTCCACATACGAGTGAGATCATACAGTGTTTGTCTTTCTCTTTTTGGCTTACTTCACTTAACATAATACCCTCAAGGTCCATCCATGTTGTTGCAAATGGGAGGATTTTGTATTTTTTTATGGCTGAGTAGTATTTCATTGTATATATATACCACATCTTCTTGATCTAATCGTCACTCAAGGGACACAGGTTTCTTCCACTTCTGGGCTATAGTGAATAATGCTGCAATGAACATAGGGGTGCATAAGCCTCTTTGGTTGTTGATTTCAGGTTCGTTGGATAGATTTCCAGCAGTGGGAGGGCTGGATCATAGGGCATCTCTATTTTTAATTCTTTGAGGAATCTCCATACCGTTTTCCATAGAGGCTGCACCAATTTGCATTCTCACCAGCTGTGTATGAGGGTTCCTGTTTCTCCACATCCTCTCCAACATTTGTTGTTTTTTGTCTTGGTGATTATAGCCATTCTAATGGGCGTGAGGTGATATCTTAGTGTTGTTTTGATTTGCATTTCCCTGATGATTAGTGATGTTGAACATCTTTTCATGTGTCTATCGGCCATCTGTATATCTTCTTGGAGAAGTGTCTGTTCATTTCCTCTGCCCATTTTTTGATCGGGTTGTTTGTTTTTTGTTGTTCAGTTGCATGAGTTCTTTATATATTATGGAGATCAACCCCTTGTCAGATATATGTTTTGCAAATATTCTCTCCCAGCTGGTGGGTTGTCTGTTCATCTTGATTCTGGTTTCGTTTGTCTTGTAGAAGCTCTTTAATCTGATAAAGTCCCACTTGTTTACTTTTTCTTTAGTTTCCCTAGTCTGGGTAGGCATGTCATCCAAAAAGATTCCTTTATGAATATGTCTTACTTTTAAATATCAAAAAAGAAAATTCAAAGGAGACAGGGGATTATTGCAATCGTCCAGACAAAAGATAATCTAGGTTTACTAAGTGTGCCTCTAACCAACTGGACAAGTCATTTTATTTCTGTCACCCTCTAGTTTCTCATCTACAAAATGACCTACCTCACAAAGTTGTCAAGAAAATGAAATACAGTAGTGTGTGTTAAAGGGCCAATCACAATGTTTGGAACACATGTTTGGACCACACATACTCACCAAATCTGCTACAGGGCAGGCCTAAACCAGGGCAGCAAGCCAAAGGGACAGAGAAGAGGTTTGAGAAGTAAAATCGACAGAATGGAGTGATTGATTGAGAGGATGAAGAAGAAGTCAAAGATGCCTACCTCACATGTCTAGGTTAAACAACTGACTGGCTAGTGATAGTCCTAACAGTGATAAAGGCTGTAAGAGAAGAAACAGGTTTGGAAGTAAGGCAAGAAGTTTCACTTTAGTCATACTGAGTTTGTGCTGCATACAGGATATGCAGGGAATTCGGCCCAGGAGCAGTTAGAAGAGAGACCGTACCTGAAAGTATAGATTTGGAGTCATGGGAGTCAAAGAGCCCAGGATAGACATAGTAAGAAAGGAAATGAGGATTATACATACCTTTTGTGCTCTCTCTTGAAACTAGACCACAAGTCCTTTTCACTTGAATTTTTTTTTTTTTACTAACTACCTATAGGACAATAGAGAGTATAAACAATAGAGCAAACTATATAGGTTCCTGAAACCTCAACATTTTCTCGACTTGGCTATTTCCTGGCCTTTACTGAAGTGTAAGACACTAAACCTCTTTCATAGTCCCTTTCTTAGGTAGTCTTGAGGAAGAATTCTTAGCTTTTATCCCCAAGGAGAATATATATTCTCCATGAGAACAAGGACTCTTTCAATATTCTTCTACGTGTCTGGCCCAACATCTAACACAATATTTGGAACATAGTGTTGCATATGCCACCACTATTGTTGATCATCATCACTGTCATCATCACCCCAACAGTTCCATTTATTGAGAATTTACTATACGCCAGGCAACCAGTACTTTACATATATTAACTATTTGAATCCTCACAACAACCCCGAGAGTGAGGTACTATTATTATCCCCATTTTATAGATGAGGACTCAGGAGAGGTTAGGTTAACTTGCCCCAAAATAAACAGCAACTAAATGAAGTTGCTGGGATTAAAGCCCAGGCAATCTGATTCTAGAGCTAGTGCTCTACTGGCTCCCTCCAGGCAGGATCATAGCCAAAGCAATTATAAAATATTGAACAGAGCAATCAAAAGCATTGTGGAAATGAATTCCCATACATGTGATTACGGCTGAAGCACTGGCCAAAAAATCAGCGGCTCCTGGACGAAATAGGTATCACCAACTACCTGGCAGCTGAAGACCAAGGATGGCACAGGCACAATGGGAATGAGAACAAAACCAAATTTATTAGAAAACTGGTGCTTGTGGAGATGCAGCAGAGTTCTGTGATGAGACAGGTACATTGGCACAAGTACTTTTGATATGTAATATCAAAGGGCAGGGAAGTAAGAACATTGTTGAGGAGATAAAGATAACACCATAAGAAAACGGAACTGCAAGGGGCCAGCCCGATGGCGCAAGTGGTTAAGTGCGCGCGTTCCGCTGCAGTGGCCTGGGCTTCACCAGTTCAGATCCCGGGCATGCACCGATGCACTGCTTGTTGAGTCATGCTGTGGCGGCGTCCCATATAAAGTAGAGGAAGATGGGCACGGACGTTAGCTCAGGGCCAATCTTCCCCAGCAAAAAAAAAAGAGGAGGATTGGCATCAGATGTTAGCTTAGGGCTGATCTTCCTCATAAAAAAAAAAAAAGAAAGAAAGAAAACAGAACTGCTTATACTATATATCTTCCCTTTATTTTTCACTCATGGACTTGGCCAACCAGAACTTCCCCACTCTGAAATCTTAAATTCAAGGATGCCTACTTTCCAATCACAGATCACTCCCACTGTACCGTTCTTCAACCTGATCAAGAGCATAGTCTTCAGCCCACCCTCCATTTTCTCTTGGTCTACTTGCCTCCTGCTGATCTTTATTCCTTTCCTACCCATCCTGGACTCCAGATGGCTCAACATTTGTACCACTCTCACCAGTATCTCCCATATCCATGTACCTTCATCCCTCTGCCACAACTGTCCATCAAAATCTCAAACCTGTACCAATGCTAAGGTCTGCCTTGTCTGCTCCTATACCCAGGTCCTGCATAATTCCTGGTCTCCAACCTCAGCTGGACCCTCATTGTCATCCACAGATCTTTTTACTTGCCCTTAGTTCAGTTCCCTAACCTAGTCCCTTTGGGTTCTATTTTAAGCCTTCATTCATCTCACACTCCCACTTCTCTTTCCTCCAATCCCATGAGACATCCTTGTCTCACACTTGTAAAAAAAAAATGTTTTTAGAGTCCATCAGCCATGACCTCCATCAGCTCCCTGCCTCCTCTCCCCCATCAGTTGCCAATCTGACTCCTTTCAGAAAAGCCACATCCCACCTCCAGCCCTACCTTCAACCATGGGTTGCTGCTGTTTCCAACACTAACCCTGTTACCAGCCAGCTTACTGGAGATGGGATCTTGCAGAATTAGTAGTGGGGAGAAGAAAACAGAATAAAAAAAAAATTAAAGTCAAGGAGAAAAAGAAAGCATAGAAAAATGAGACAAATAAAAAGCAAAAGGTAAGATGGTAAAAACAAGCTCCAAT